TGTCTCCGTGTGTCTCGGGGCGTCTCAATGTCTCCGCGTGTCTCCGTGTCTCTCAATGTCTCCGCGTGTCTCCGTGTCTCTCAATGTCTCCGCGTGTCTCCGCGTCTCCTTGTGTCTCCGCGTCTCTCCGTGTCTCCGTCTCTCCGTGTCTCCGCGTGTCTCCGTGTCTGCGCGTGTCTCCGCGTGTCTCAGGGTGTCTCAATGTCTCCGCGTCTCTCCGTGTCTCCGCATCTGGACTCGTCTCTACGTGTCTCCGCGCCTCTCCGCGTGTCTCCGCGTGTCTCAGGGTGTCTCAATGTCTCCGCGTCTCTCCGTGTCTCCGAGTCTCCACGTGTCTCCGTGTCTCCGCGTCTCTCCGTGTCTCCGCGTGTCTCCACGTGTCTCAGGGTGTCTCAGGGTGTCTCAATGTCTCCGCGTCTCTCCGTGTCTCCGCATCTGGACGCGTCTCCACGTGTCTCCGCGTGTCTCCGCGTCTCTCCGTGTCTCCGTCTCTCCGCGTCTCTCTGTGTCTCCGCGTGTCCCACGTCTCTTCGGGTGTCTTCGGGTGCCCGTGTCTCCGCGTGTCTCCGCGTGTCTCCGCGTCTCCGCTTGTCCCCCCCGCTTGTCTCCCGTGTGTCTCTGCGTGTCTCCACGTGGCTCAATCTGTTCCCGCGTGTCTCCGTGTCTCCGCGTGTCTCCGCCTGTCTCCCTGCGTCTTCACGTGTCTCAGTCTGTCTCCCGTGTATCTCCCCGTGTCTCCGAGTCTGTCCCCCCGCGTGTCTCCCCGTGTCTCTCCGTGCATTGCTTGTAGCAACGTTGTCTGTGCGTCTACGTGTCTCTCTGTCTCTCTCTGTCTCTCTCTCCGTCTCTCTCTGTGTCTCTCCCCATCTCTCTCTCTGTCTCTCTCTCCATCTCTCTCTCCATCTCTCTCCATCTCTCCCCATCTCTCTCCATCTCTCCCCATCTCTCTCCATCTCCCCATCTCTCTCCATCTCTCCCCATCTCTCTCCATCACCCCATCTCTCTCTCCATCTCCCCATCTCTCTCCCCATCTCTCTCCATCTCTCCCCATCTCTCTCTCTCCCCATCTCTCTCTCCCCATCTCTCTCCCCCCATAATTCTCCCCATCTCTCTCTCTCTCCATCTCTCCCCATCTCTCTCCATCTCCCCATCACCCCATCTCTCTCTCCATCTCCCCATCTCCCCATCTCTCTCTCCCCATCTCTCTCCATCTCCCCATCTCTCTCCATCTCTCCCCATCTCTCTCCATCACCCCATCTCTCTCTCCATCTCCCCATCTCTCTCCCCATCTCTCTCTCTCCCCATCTCTCTCTCCCCATCTCTCTCCCCCCATAATTCTCCCCATCTCTCTCTCTCTCTCCATCTCTCCCCATCTCTCTCCATCTCCCCATCACCCCATCTCTCTCTCCATCTCCCCATCTCCCCATCTCTCTCTCTCCATCTCTCCCCATCTCTCTCCATGTCCCCATCTCACCCCATCTCCCCATCTCCATCTCTCTCTCTCTGAGCGTGCTCGGAGGAGGCTGCGTTCGGGTGGAGCTCCCGTGCCGGTAACCCTGACGTGATGGTAGGGCCTGGCCTTTACCACCACCCACACCGAGCCCGGGAGAGAGAGAGAGAGGCGCTTCAAAGAACGCCAACATCCCCATCTCTCTCTCCCCATCTCTCTCCATCTCCCCATCTCTCTCTCCCCATCTCTCTCCATCTCTCCCCATCTCTCTCTCCCCATCTCTCTCCATCTCTCCCCATCTCTCTCTCCCCATCTCTCTCCATCTCTCCCCATCTCTCTCTCCCCATCTCTCTCCATCTCCCCATCTCTCTCTCCCCATCTCTCTCCATCTCTCCCCATCTCTCTCTCCCCATCTCTCTCCATCTCTCCCCATCTCTCTCTCCCCATCTCTCTCCATCTCCCCATCTCTCTCTCCCCATCTCTCTCCATCTCTCCCCATCTCTCTCCATCTCCCCATCTCTCTCTCCCCATCTCTCTCTCCCCATCTCTCTCCATCACCCCATCTCTCTCTCCCCATCTCTCTCTCCCCATCTCTCTCCATCACCCCATCTCTCCCCATCTCTCCCCATCTCTCTCTCCCCATCTCTCTCCATCTCTCTCTCCCCATCTCTCTCTCCCCATCTCTCTCCATCACCCCATCTCTCCCCATCTCTCTCTCCCCATCTCCCCATCTCTCTCCCATCTCTCTCTCCCCATCTCTCTCCATCACCCCATCTCTCTCTCCCCATCTCTCTCTCCATCTCTCCCCATCTCTCTCCCCATCTCTCTCCATCTCTCTCCATCTCTCCCCATCTCTCCCCATCTCTCTCCCCATCTCTCCCCATCTCTCCCCATCTCTCCCCATCTCTCCCCATCTCTTCATCTCTCTCCCCATCTCTCTCCATCTCTCTCCCCATCTCTCCCCCATCTCTCCCCCATCTCTCTCTCTGAGCGTGCTCGGAGGAGGCTGCGTTCGGGTGGAGCTCCCGTGCCGGTAGCCCTGGCGTGATGGTAGGGCCTGGCCTTTACCACCACCCACACCGTGCCAGGGAGAGAGAGAGAGAGAGGCGCTTCAAAGAACGCCAACATCCCCATCTCTCTCTCCATCTCTCTCCATCTCCCCATCTCTCTCTCCCCATCTCTCTCCATCTCCCCATCTCTCTCTCCCCATCTCTCTCCACCCCATCTCTCTCCATCTCCCCATCTCTCTCTCCCCATCTCTCTCCATCTCTCTCCATCTCTCTCTCCCCATCTCTCTCTCCATCTCTCTCCATCTCTCTCCATCTCTCCCCATCTCCCAATCTCTCTCCCCATCTCTCTCCCCATCTCTCTCCCCATCTCTCTCCCCATCTCTCCCCATCTCTTCATCTCTCTCCATCTCTCTCCCCATCTCTCTCTCTCCATCTCCCCATCTCTCTCCATCTCTCTCCATCTCTCCCCATCTCTCTCCCCATCTCTCTCTCCATCTCTCTCTCTCCATCTCCCCATCTCTCTCCATCTCTCTCCATCTCTCTCCATCTCTCTCCATCTCTCTCCATCTCTCTCTCCATCTTCCCATCTCTCTCTCCCCATCTCCCCATCTCTCCCCATCTCTCCCCATCTCTTCATCTCTCTCCCCATCTCTCTCCATCTCTCTCCCCATCTCTCTCCCCATCTCTCTCTCTGAGCGTGCTCGGAGGAGGCTGCGTTCGGGTGGAGCTCCCGTGCCGGTAACCCTGACGTGATGGTAGGGCCTGGCCTTTACCACCACCCACACCGAGTCCGGGAGAGAGGCGCTTCAAAGAACGCCAACATCCCCATCTCTCTCTCCCCATCTCTCTCCATCTCTCTCCATCTCTCCCCATCTCCCAATCTCTCTCCCCATCTCTCTCCCCATCTCTCTCCCCATCTCTCCCCATCTCTCCCCATCTCTTCATCTCTCTCCCCATCTCTCTCCATCTCTCTCCCCATCTCTCCCCATCTCTCCCCATCTCTCCCCATCTCTTCATCTCTCTCCCCATCTCTCTCCATCTCTCTCCCCATCTCTCCCCATCTCTCCCCATCTCTCCCCATCTCTTCATCTCTCTCCCCATCTCTCTCCATCTCTCTCCCCATCTCTCTCCCCCATCTCTCTCTCTGAGCGTGCTCGGAGGAGGCTGCGTTCAGGTGGAGCTCCCGTGCCGGTAGCCCTGGCGTGATGGTAGGGCCTGGCCTTTACCACCACCCACACCGAGCCAGAGAGAGAGAGAGGCGCTTCAAAGAACGCCAACATCCCCATCTCTCTCCATCTCTCTCCATCTCCCCATCTCTCTCTCCCCATCTCTCTCTCCCCATCTCTCTCCATCACCCCATCTCTCTCTCCCCATCTCTCTCTCCCCATCTCTCTCCATCTCCCCATCTCTCTCTCCCCATCTCTCTCTCCCCATCTCTCTCCATCACCCCATCTCTCCCCATCTCTCCCCATCTCTCTCCATCTCTCTCTCCATCTTCCCATCTCTCTCTCCCCATCTCCCCATCTCTCCGCATCACCCCATCTCTCTCTCCCTCTCTCCATTTCTCTCCCCATCTCTCTCCCCATCTCTCTTTCTGAGCGTGCTCGGAGGAGGCTGCGTTCGGGTGGAGCTCCCGTGCCGGTAACCCTGGCGTGATGGTAGGGCCTGGCCTTTACCACCACCCACACCGTGCCAGGGAGAGAGAGAGAGAGAGGCGCTTCAAAGAACGCCAACATCGACTCCTTCCCCATTCCCCGACTTTCTCCTTCCCCACTTACAATTATTTTTCATTTTCTTTTCTCTTGCTCACCGAGACCCTCCGGGGCGTTAAGCCCGACCCACCGAGTAGGCCGTGGTGTCAGTTTGACACGTGGTGTAACACGTGGTGTCAGTTTAACACGTGGTGTCAGTTTAACACGTGATGTCAGTTTAACACGTGGTGTCAGTTTAACACGTGGTGTAACACGTGGTGTCAGTTTAACACGTGGTGTAGCACGTGGTGTAACACCTGGTGTAACACGTGGTGTCAGTTTAACACGTGGTGTAACACGTGGTGTCAGTTTAACACGTGGTGTAGCACGTGGTGTAACACCTGGTGTAACACGTGGTGTCAGTTTAACACGTGGTGTAACACCTGGTGTAACACGTGGTGTAACACGTGTTACACCACGTGGTATAACACGTGTTACACCACGTGGTGTAACACGTGGTGTAACACGTGGTGTAACACGTGGTGTAACACCGCGTGTAGCACGCGGTGTAACACGCGGTGTTACACCACGTGTTACACCACGTGGTGTAACACGTGGTGTAACACGTGGTGTAACACGTGGTGTAACACGTGGTGTAACACGTGGTGTAACACGGGGTTTCCCGTGGACGCCGCTAACGTCCACCTGCTCGCCGACCACGACGTCGTCCCGACCGCCTTCTCCGATGGCCACGCGGCCCCCCGTTGCGGCCCCCCGTTGCGGCCCCCCGTTGCGGCCCCCCGTTGCGGCCCCCCGTTGCGGCCCCCCGTTGCGGCCCCCCGTTCCCAGGGTGGGTGGGGGGGGGACCTGCCGGAAGCTCGCCGCTCGGCCGCTCGTGGACCCGGGCCTCCCCCAAAGGGGACCTTCGGGGTGGCGGGAGCGCACGGAGCCGCGGCCGCGGGGCCCTCTCCGCCCTGCCAGGGACGACGAGGCCCCGGCGCGTCCGCGGGGACGAGCCGCTGCTACTGGAGGCGGAGCTGGGACAAGCGGCGCCGCCACCGGCCGCCACCCACGAAGGGAGATCGGCCCCTCGGGTCGCGAGCTGGGCGGCCTCGGCGGCCCTCCTCTGTGCGAGGTCTTCGGCCCAAAAACCGCCCCAAGACGCGCCGGGCGGTGCCGGGCGGTGCCGGGCGGTGCCGGGCGGTGCCGGGCGGTGCCGGGCGGTGCCGGGCGGTGCCGGGCGGTGCCGGGCCCCGGGCAAGCTCACCGAGGTCCCCGACCGGCGCCTCGCACGGCCGCGGTCTCCCTGGCGGGGATGGGACGGGCACGGACCTGGGCCTCCTCGCTTTGCCTCGGCCGGGGAAGCGACGGGGGCCCTTCGACCGTGTGGGCCGCGGCTAAGCTGGAAGGAGGCCGCTCGCCTCGCTAGGGGGTTCGGGCCGGCCTTCAGGCCCGCGGGCGCGGCTCCTACAGTACGGGCGGGCTTGTCGAGGGCGCCGAAAGTAGATCAGCGGCCCGGCGTCCCCCCGGCCGAGGCCGGTGGGCCCTGGGCCCGCCGGTGGGCGGAGGGCGGCCAGGGACCGGCGGACGACTCCGCCAGGATTCCCGACCCTTCACAACGGCCGCCTCGCGGGGGTCCGGGAGGCGGCGGCGGCGGCGGCGGCGGCGGCGGCGCCTCCACCGCCTCCTCCTCACCTCGGCGGCGGCGGGGGGGGGGGGGGGGGGGAGGGACTCGGTGCGGAACGACGAGCGGCACCCCGGGCCGGGGAGAGGTTGCTGCGGGCGGCGGTCGCGGCTGGAGGCACCCCAGGTCGGAACCCCTCCCCCCTCCCCCCCCTCCCTCCCACCCCCACCCCCCCCCATCGCCAAACACCGCGGGGACCTCCTCCAGTGGCGGCCGCTACACCGGCGCCGATGTTGGAGCTGCCACGCGGCCGCTCCCCCCCACGATGTACCGGCTTCCTGTGGGGGGGGGGGGGGGGGGGGGCGACTCCGGCCTCCCTCCGGCAGCTGGACGGTGCACGGGGGCCTCGGGGCCCAGGCCCAGCCAGGCCTCCCTCCACCCGGGAGTCCGTGTGCCACGCCCACCGCCGTGGACGCGGACGGACGGACGGACGAGCGGACGGACGGACGAGCGGACGGACGGACGAGCGGACGGACGGACGAGCGGACGAGCGGACGGACGGACGAGCTGGCTGCTTTTTCCGGGCGCCTTCCGCGCGGACGCCGCGGCCCGGCTTTTCCTGGGACCCGCGTTTGTTCCGCGCTCCGCTCCAAGCTGAGGCGCGGGTTTTAGTTTTTTAGTTTTTGTTTTCGCGCCCGGCGCGCCTCCTGCCCCGGCGTGTGGATCCGTGTTTGTTTTTTTTTTAATTTTCCCTTCGTCGCCCCCCCCCCCCCCCCGTTTAGCGTCTTGGGTCAAGCGCGCGATGCCCCCCGCCACAGACCGGAGGGCGTTTGTTTTGCTTGCGGATGTTGGCCTGAGAGGGTAGTGGGCTCGTCCCCTCCCGTGCAGTGCGCTGTAAAGCTGAGGGGAGTTTGTTTGTATCCGTGCTCGGAAAAAATGCCCCAGAGCAAATTTTTTTTTTGCTACTGGAGCAACAAAGTTGTTTTAAAAAGTCTAAAAGTCTCTCACCATCTCTCTCTCTCCATCTCTCCATCCCGCCATCTCTCTGTCTCTTCATCTCTCTCCCCATCTCTCTCTCTCTCCATCTCTCCATCTCTCTCTCCATCTCTCTCTCTCTCTCCATCTCTCTCTCTCTCTCCATCTCTCTACCTCTCTCAATCTCTCTCCATCTCTCTCCCCATCTCTCTCCCCATCTCTCTCTATCTCTCTCCCTATCTCTTTCTTCATCTCTCTCTCCATCTTTCTCCATCTCTCTCCATCTCTCTCCATCTCTCTCCATCTCTCCCCATCTCTCTCCATCTCTCTCCATCTCTCCCCATCTCTCCCCATCTCTCCATCTCTCTCTCTCTCCGTCTCTCTCTCATCTCTCTCTCCATCTCTCTCCCCATCTCTCTCCCCATCTCTCCCCATCTCCCCATCTCTCTCTCCGTCTCTCTCTCATCTCTCTCTCTCCATCTCTCTCCCCATCTCTCTCCATCTCCATCTCTCTTCATCTCTCCATCTCTCTCCCCATCTCCCCATCTCTCTCTCCATCTCTCTCCATCTCTCTCTCCATCTCCATCTCTCTTCATCTCTCCATCTCTCTCCCCATCTCCCCATCTCTCTCCATCTCTCTCCATCTCTCTCCATATCTCCATCTCTCTCCCCATCTCCCCATCTCTCTCCATCTCTCTCCATCTCTCTCCATCTCTCTCCATCTCTCTCTCTCCCCATCTCTCTCCCCATCTCTCTCTCCATCTCTCTCCATCTCTCTCCATCTCTCTCCATCTCTCTCCCCATCTCTCTCTCCATCTCTCTCTCTCCATCTCTCTCCATCTCTCTCCATCTCTCTCCATCTCTCTCTCCATCTCTCTCTCCATCTCTCTCTCCATCTCTCTCTCCATCTCTCTCCATCTCTATCCCCATCTCTCTCTCCATATCTCTCTCCATCTCTCTCCATCTCTCCCCATCTCTCTCCCCATCTCTCTCTCCATCTCTCTCCATCTCTCTCCATCTCTCCCCATCACCCCCCATCTCTCCATCTCTCTCTCCCCATCTCCCAATCTCCATCTATCTCCATCTCTCTCCATCTCTCTCCATCTCTCTCCATCTCTCTCCATCTCTCCCCATCTCTCTCCATCTCTCTCTCTCCATCTCTCTCCATCTCTCCCCATCTCCCCATCTCTCTCTCCATCTCTCTCCATCTCCCCATCACCCCCCATCTCTCCCCCCCCCCATCTCTGCCCCCTCACCTCTCTCCCCATCACCCCCCCCGCCCCCCGGGTCTCAGAGGGAGTCTCTGGGCGGCCCGTGCCTGTTCTTCGAGAGGTAGACCATCCAGTAGACCATGTTGAACACCCCGAATGTGACGGGGAACACAATGCGAGCGTACTTGTCGATCTTGCTCGTGCCCGACTTCCCCTCCTCCTCATCCTGCACCTCCTGCCGCTGCCGCTGCAGCTGCAGCCTCCGTCGCTGCTGCTGCTGCTGCTGCTGCCGCTGCCGCTGATGATGATGACTCTGCCGCAGCAGTAGCAGCTCCGCGTCCTCCTCCGCATCAGCATCCTCCTCCTCCTCCTCCTCTGAAGCGGCGACGGGCAAGAGTAGCGACGAAGCGGAATTCGCGGCCGCGTGGTGGAACGGAGCGTGTCCGGCAGCGTGCGATTGTTGTTGTTGTTGGTGGTGCTGGTGGTGGTGGTCGTGCTGGTGGTGGTCGTGGTGGTGCTGGTGGTGGTGGTGGCCGTGGGCAAGCCCTCCGCCTCCCATCCCGCCCGCAAGCATGTCGCGGTGTCGGCCCACGAGCGACTGATCCGAGGCGAGGTTCACCGCCGCCAGCAGCTCCGGTTGGGACAGGAGGAGGTGGTGCTGGTGGTGGTGGTGTTGTTGGTGTTGTTGTTGGAGGTGCTGCTGCTGCTGCTGCTGAGAGTAGGCGTGGAGCGACTGATGCTGGTGGTGGCGCTGCGGTGGAGGAGTCGGAGGCTCCGTCGGCTCCATCATCGCCGTCGGCTGCTGCTGCCGCTGCTGCTGCTGCTGCTGCTGCCGCCGGAGCTGCGTGGAGCAGCGAGGGAGCGTCCGTGACTCCTCGCCCGGCGGGGGCGAGGAGAGGGCCAGGGGCTGGGAGTGGGGGGCCCGGAGGGAGCTGACGCGCCGGTGGGAGATGCAGTCCTGGGGGGGGTGGGGGAGAGGTGGGGAGAGAGGCGGGGATGGAGGAGGGAGGGAGAGAGAGAAGCATCATCACCACCACCACCATCACCACCACCACCACCATCAATACCATCACCACCACCATCACCACCACCGTCACCACGACGCTTGTGCCAGGCCATGTTGCACGTTGAGGCCACGTGAAGTTTCGAACGCCCGCTGGCAGGAGGTCACGGGGCAGACCCAGCAGGTGCCACGGGTCGACTGACTGAGATGACTGGCTGATGCACCACCTGTGCCCCCTACTGTGCCAACCCGCTGTGCTTTAGCCACCCGGCGCTCCGCTCGTTGTTGTGAGCGTCGCTCCTCCGCCCTCCGTTGTTGTTGAAGGGCGACTGCCTCCAACTGCCCAGCAGCGTCCTTCACGAGCCTCCTCCACAGAGGCCGATCTTGACACCGCTGGTACCGGTCATCGGAAAGTCCACTCAGCTCCATTCCATCTTTTCTCGAGGCCATGCCAAGTCGGTTTACCCTCCTCTATTGGATCGAACATAATCGGTTTGGGCTGGGCATGTGGACTACATGCCGGAGGAGCTCACCGATGGGACTGTGTCCAGATCTTTCGTGGATTTGTGAGCTTCTCACACAATCCAGCCTGCTGGTTAAACCCAGGATGGATCGTTGGCAGGCCAGCCTGAATATTCTCAACCTGGTGAAGATGTTCTATTGAAGGGAGGGCATGACCGTGGCCGAGAAGATCCACAGCGTCATGTGGAGCGACAGACCGGGTAGCTTCCACACAGCGTTAAAAGCTTCACGAACTACGTGGTCGAAGTAGATGTTAAGTAATGTGGGAGCCAGAGGACATCCCTGTTGCACCACAAGGTGTACAGGGAATGGCTCTGACTCCCGGCCCACGTAGTTTTACCTGAGCCTGCTCACCATCATGAAGAGAACCAAGGCCTACTGATGGTATCATAGGCCTTGACCAGGTCAGTAAAGCAGAGATGTTGGGCCTGTTGCAATTTCCTAGACCTCTGCTGTAGCAGACGGACAGAAAATATGGCGTCTGTGCAGGACCGCCCTTTCCTGAAACCGCATTGGGGCTCCGCAAGCCTCTCCTCAGCGTGCCTGGCAAGGCGATGTTGAATAATCCTTGCCAGGACCTTACCCGGCACACTGAGGAGTGAGATGCCCCTGTAGTTGTTACAGTCTGTGCGGTCCCCCTTCTTAAAGAGGGGGACCACCAGGGCATCCTTCCAATCCTGTGGAACCCGTCCAGCGGTCCAGACCGTTGTTATGATGTCATATAGGGCAGTCTGTGCACAAACGCCACCCTCCCTCAGCATTTCGCTTGGGAGATCATCTCTGCCCGCTGCCTTTCCTGGTCTCAGACTCCGGATCGCCTTCAGTACTTCCTCAACAGATGGCACCTCAGCCAGCCACTCACAGGGAGTGACTTCTTCCAATATTTGAGGCACCGCAGCCTCAGCAAGCCCAGAAGTCTAGCGGCCTCGTCCTGCCTCTGTTACCGAGCTAACCCGGCCAATGCCTTCCAATCGCTCTGGCCCAGTCGCCAGCGGCATGACTCACTCAGGCATTAAAGTCACTCAACAGAATGACTCTATCCCGAGGTCCCACTTGAACTAGTATCTGTGCCAGGAGGTCAATGAGGGCATCTGATTCATCGGTCTTGCCGGCATTCCTCCGCTGATGTTCATTTCCGGTGGGAGCATAAGTAACCACCACCACCACCACCATTCCTCGCCTCTGGTTGATGGGGAGGCCAGCCCACAGCAGCCTGGGGCTTACAGCTTCCCACACCTCACCGCCATTCTCCCACGTCCCCTTCATTCTTTTTGCTCAGAACAAGAGGCGTTCACCGTTGTGTGGGAGTCTCTTTTACCCCCCCAATTAGGGGGCTGTTCACCCCCCCTCTCTCTCTCTCACTGTGACAGGGACAAGAGGCACTCACCGTTGTGTGGGAGTCTCTTTTACCCCCCCGATTAGGGGGCTGCTCACCCCCCCTCTCTCTTTCACTTCGACAGGAACAAGGGGCGTTCACCGGTGTGTGGGAGTCTCTTTTACCCCCCCCGATTAGGGGGCTGTTCACCACCCCCCCTCTCTCTCTCACTGTGACCCTGAGCCAGAGCCGGTCCCCCACCGCTGTGACCAGCCCCCCCCGGTGCCGAGAGGATCCAGGAGTGCGTCTCGACAGCCACCAGCCGCCCCTCCCCTCCCACCTCTCTCTCGCCCGCGTGCGGTTAGGGCCAGGGGCCGGGTCAAGATATCCTAAGGCCCCCCACCCCCCCCCCCCCCCGGTGGGGGGCTACAGGTACCCACCGTTACCCGCGAGCCCCCCGCTAAACGAATTTTCCCGGGGGCTAACGGTAAACGCGATTCGGCATTCGCCGGGGCGACACGAGAGACAAACCGGCTTTCCGCTCCGCCTGCGGAGGCCCCGGCGGCTGTGGGGGCAACCCGCCGCTAGGCTCACCCTGTACACGAGGCTCCTGCCGTCTTCATCGCCGCCGACGCCGCCGCCTTCCACGTTCCTGTGCCGGGGCCGGGCGTGTCGGCGGGGGGGCGACGAGCGGACGCACGACGCCGGCGGGCGATGCGCCGGTCCTCCTCCTCCTCCGCCTCCTCCTCCGCCTCCGCCGCCTCCTCCGCCTCCTCCTCCGCCTCCGCCTCCTCCACCGCCTCCTCCTCCTCCTCCGCCTCCTCCTCCACCTCCTCCGCCTCCTCCGCCCACCACCGCCCCGACGCCGACGAGCCTCGGCCCGGGGCGTCCGCGCCGACCGTAGCCTCCACGCGAGCGCCTTCGGTAGCCGGCGGCTGCGGCTGCGGCTGCGGCTGCGGCTGCGGCTGCGGCGTCGGCGTCATCGTCGGCGTCGTCATCGTCGTCGTCGTCGTCGTCCCGGTGAGAGAAGTAATTGACGGCGGCGAACTCGACAAGCGTGGAGAAGACGAACGCGAAGCAGACGGCGACAAACCAGTCCATGGCCGTGGCATAGGAGACCTTGGGGAGGGAGCCACGGGCGCTGATGCTCAGCGTGGTCATCGTGAGCACCGTGGTGATGCCTGGGGGGTGGGGGTGGAGGGGGTGGAGGGGAGAGACGTGGAGCACCGTGGTGATACCTGCAGGGGTTCCTAACAGGTGTGTAGACACGGTACAATGTATGAGTGTGTACCTGTGTGTGTGTGTACCTGTGTGTGTGTGTGTGTGTAACTGTGTGAGTGTACCTGTGTGTGTGTACCTGTGTGTGTGTGTGTACCTGTGTGTGTGTACCTGTATGTGTGTACCTGTGTGAGTGTACCTGTGTGTGTGTACCTGTGTGTGTGTGTACCTGTGTGTGTGTACCTGTGTGTGTACCTGTGTGTGTGTGCACCTGTGTGTGTGTGTGTGTACCTGTGTGTGTACCTGTGTGTGTGTGTACCTGTGTGTGTGTGTACCTGTGTGTGTGTACTTGTGTGTGTGTACCTGTGTGTGTACCTGTGTGTGTGTACCTGTGTGTGTACCTGTGTGTGTGTACCTGTGTGTGCGGCAAAACAAGCCCCTACCTCCTTGCGGTGTTGGACGGGCAACTCTAGCGTGGACAATGCTGTGGGGGAGAGGGCCAATTCCGATTGGCCCTCTCCCCTCATGGCGTCTGTGACCACCACAGTGACTAAACGGGGGCTCTGGACGGGTGCGAGGGGCTGGTTACCCCTCCATCTTAAAAAATTACCACGAAACTACCACAACATTTAATTAATAAGCTTGTGCCGGAGGCCCCGGGGGGCCAGGCGTCCATGACGTCTCCTGGCCAAACCCCAATTGGCGGAGCCAGGAGATTGAATCTCTACCCTCGGGGCTTCTCCAGAAACAACGAAAAGCCACTTTGTGTGGCCACGTGGAATGTTCGAACGCTCACTGCGGAGGAGAGGCTGCCACTCCTTTGTCGGGAGCTGGACCGGTACCGCCTGGATCTCTGTGGCATTCAGGAGGTCCGGTGGACCGGCTCTGGCTCCTGCCACCATGAGGGGTGGACAGTCCTCTACTCGGGGCAGCAGACTGCCAAACAACAGGGAGTGGCTCTTCTTTTGAACAAAAGAATGAAGGGGGCGTGGGAGCGTGGCGGTGAGGTGTGGGAAGCTGTAAGCCCCACGCTACTTTGGGCTCGCTTTCCCATCAACCAGAGGTGAGGAGTGGTGGTCGTGGTTACTTATGCCCCCACCGAAGATGAACATCCGTGGAGGGATGCAGGCAAAACCAATGAGTCAGATGTCTTCTATGACCTCCTGTCACAGGTGCTGGCTAAAGTGGCCCCTCGGGATAGAGTCATCTTGTTGGGTGACTTCAATGCCCGAGTTGGTCATGATGCTGGCACCTGGTCTGGAGTGATTGGAGGGAATAGGCCAGATCAGCTCAGTAACAACGGTAGGGGGCTGCTAGATTTTTGTGCAGCCCATGGGCTTGTAATTACCAACACGCTGTTTCGGCATCGGCGCATCCACACAACATCATGGATGCATGCCGGGTCCAAGCAAGAACATCTGCTGGACTAAATATTGATGGACCAGCGGATGCGAGCCCATGTCCTTGACACCAGGACCTACCGTGGAGCTGATCTGCCCTCTGACCATCGACTAGTCATCTGTAAGATGCGCCTGCCATTCTTCCACTCCGGTGGTGGGTGTACACCCAGGACCCCATATTCCAACCTAAAGTGGCCTGGTCTTAGTTAGCTGATGAAAGTTGTCATCGCTTGCGGCTGGGGTTGGCATTGTCCCCCACTCCTCCTGATGTCGAGGGTAAATGGGCGAGGTTTAGGACTGTGACTCATGCAGTTGCAATGGCTGCTTTGGGTACGCGGTCCAGACCTCCCCAGAGACCCTGGCTGACAGAGGAGGTGCTCAGGATGGTTGAGAAAAATCGACTGGCCCACTGTCATCGGCTACAGAATCCCACGTCAGAGAATGAGGAGGCTTACTGCAGCCTTCACTCAGAGATTCGGAGAGCCGTGAGGCACAGGATGGGTGGTGGTCGCGGCTTGCTGAGGAGATGGAGTCTGCCTCAGTGGCCCGCGATCACAGATCTCTATTTAACTCCATGAAAAAAAAGTAACCTGCAGTGCCACACCTATTACCATCATTAGGGGAAAAACCGGTGATCCAATCTCCGACCCCCAGGAACAGGTTTGCAGATTTGCTGAGCATTTCTGTGAGGTCCTGGGGGAAGGGAAACCCATCAGCCAGGAAAACATCGTGGCACAAAGTGGGGATGACCCTGCTGAGGCTGTGGTGCCTCAAATATTGGAAGAAGTCACACCCTGTGAGTGGCTGGCTGAGGTGCCATCTGTTGAGGAAGTACTGAAGGCGATCAGGAGTCTGAGACCATGAAAGGCACCGGGTAGAGATGATCTCCCAGGCGAAATGCTGAGGGAGGGTGGCGTTTGTGCACAGACTGCCCTATATGACATCTTAACAACAGTCTGGGCCACTGGACGGGTTCCGCAGGATTGGAAGGATGCCCTGGTGGTCCCTCTGTTTAAGAAGGGGGACCGCACAGACTGTAACAACTACAGGGGCATCTCACTCCTCAGTGTGCCGGGAAAGGTCCTGGCAAGGATTATTCAACATCGCCTTGCCAGGCACGCTGAAGAGAGGTTTGTGGAGCCCCAATGCGGTTTCAGGAAAGGGCGGTCCTGCACAGATGCCATATTTTCTGTCCGTCTGCTACAGCAGAGGTGTAGGGAATTCCAACAAGACCTACATCTCTGCTTTATTGACCTGGTCAAGGCCTATGATACCATCAGTAGGCCTGGGCTCTGGGTTGTTCTTCGTGCTTTTGGAGTCCCTGACCCTCTGCTCACGATCATTAAGGACCTTCATGATGGTGAGCGGGCCCGGGTAAAACTACGTGGCCCGGAGTGAGAGCCATTCCCTGTACACCTTCGGGTGCGACAGGGATGTCCTCTGGCTACCACATTATTTAACATCTATTTTGACCACGTAGTTCGTTAAGCCTTCAATAGCTTTACCGGGGGAATCTCCATTTGGTACAGATATTATGGGAGGCTGATCGATGCCCGGGTGCGGTCAAGGGATGGCTCCCTATTGCTCAACCACGTTATGTATGCAGATGATTTGGTAATAGCTGCTCATTCAGAGGAGGAGTTGGAGATGCTGCTGCTGAGACTGGAGCGTGCAACTAAGAGATGGGGCCTTACCATCAGCCCCACCAAAACTAAGCACCTGCCTGGGTATTTTGAACCATCGGACACTCCACCCCCACAACTCCCAATCGGTGATGGGGCAGTTGTGGAGAGAGTGGAGAGTTTCCCGTACCTGGGCAGTGTGCTTATGACTGGCTCCAGTTTAACAGCAGAGGTCTCACTGTGAATCAGTCGAGCGGAAATAATTTTTCATCGGTTGCGTAACGCTGTGTGGAAGCTACCTGGTCTGTCGCTCCGCACTAAGCTTCAGGGCTTCTCGGCCACGGTCATTCCCTCCCTTCTCTACGCTTGCGAAACGTGGACCCCCTAAATGGAGCATCTTCGCCGGTTAGAAACATTTAGGCTGTCCTGCCTACGATCCATCCTGGGTTTAACCAGCAGGCTGGATTGTGTGAGGAGCTCACAAATCTTTGAAAGATCTGGGCAGGGTCCCATCGGTGAGCTCCTCCGGCAGGCAAGGCTGCGTTGGCTGGGTCATACTCTTCGGTAAAGTCACGTAGAAATAATAAAAATAAAATAAAATTATATAATAGTATACGACGTTTCGATCGCAACACAAGCAATCATCATCAGGCAGAGGAAACACACAACCGCAGATATATATATACAGACCTTAAGTAGGGGGAATTAACACAGATATATCAGGGGACACAGAGAGACGGAACATCACACTAAATCAAACAGGGATTAGCAAACTCTTAGGTTCTATTGGGTAAAGTCACGTAGGTGAAAATAAAATAACAAAAAATCACGACGTTTCAGCCACAACACAAGCGGCCTTCATCAGGTGAAGGGATGAGACTGTCTGGAGACTGTCTGGAGGACAGTCTCGTCCCTTCACCTGATGAAGGCCGCTTGTGTTGTGGCCGAAACGTCGTGATTTTTTGTTATTTTATTTTCACCTATGTGACTTTACCCAATAGAACCAAAGAGTATGGATCCTAGCAGTCACGAAAGCTTTTAAATCTAGAAGGGTTTAGCAAAATTTGGAAACTATATAAAGCAACACACACGGTCGGTTAAAACACAATCAACGCATGGTTTGGTCGAATACGCCGTTTCAAAGATCGCCAAATTGTGAGTTAAGCGTGAAATTTAAGATAGTGACAGAATACTTACCGTAGAGAGGCCTTTGCGGGGGGCAGACACGCGCACAGTTAAGCGGTAAAGTAAATCTGTCCCGAGGCTTTAAGAAGGCCAGCGATGTAGGAGGGCCAAGGCTCACAGACAATGGGATGCAAGTTTGCACGATACAACTTTTCAAGTAGTGGTACCCCAAACTTTCGCAAGCTCTTATAAATTCCCTTTTCACACCATCAATAGGTAAACTCCCCCTCCCCCCCGCCCCCCCCCCCCCCCCCCCCCCCCCCCCCCCCCCCCCCCCCCCCCGCGCCAAACGGCAAGTCCACCGGCACGTACACCACCTCTTTTCTAAAATCGGCCAATCAAATGCTCATTTTTATGCTAATTTATTTGTCAGGACACCTTGTTTGCTCGCACACAGTTTAATGGTCCGCGGTCTGAGCGTGGTTGTGTTTCGCTAAATTCTCCTGTTTGATGAGTACTAGGTGCCTCGGTGAATGTGTATGCTCTGACTTTAACATAGCTATTACTGTGACCAGTTACAAGCTAATCACTCAGCTATTTCAATGCTAAATTCGATGCTAATTCCTTTGTCAAGGGGTGCCTCTGCGGATGTGTATACTTTAACTTAGCTATTTCAATGAGCCATTTCAATGCTAAATTATATGCTAATTCCTTTGTCAAGGGGTGCCTCTGCGGATGTGTATACTTTAACTTAGCTATTTCAATGAGCCATTTCAATGCTAAATTCTATGCTAATTCCTTTGTCAAGGGGTGCCTCTGCGGATGTGTATACTTTAACTTAGCTATTTCAATGAGCCATTTCAATGCTAAATTCTATGCTAATTCCTTTGTCAAGGGGTGCCTCTGCGGATGTGTATACTTTAACTTAGCTATTTCAATGAGCCATTTCAATGCTAAATTATATGCTAATTCCTTTGTCAAGGGGTGCCTCTGCGGATGTGTATACTTTAACTTAGCTATTTCAATGAGCCATTTCAATGCTAAATTCTATGCTAATTCCTTTGTCAAGGCGCGTTGTTTCTTCTCACACAGCTTAAAGGTCGCGATCTAAGCGTGGCTTCTTCCACTCCAGCGCTGTCCTCCAGACAGTCTCGTTCCCTTCACCCGATGAAGGCCGCTTGTGTTGTGGCCGAAACGTCGTGATTTTTTGTTATTTTATTTTTTTACCTACGTGACTTTACCCAATAGAACCAAAGAGTACGATACAAGTTATCAGGCACACAGTTTGTCAGGCAGAGACAACACAGCGACACAGATCCAACTCAAGACACTAAGGTGGACACACCCAGCAGAGAAACGCGAAGACAACAGAATTCGTACCTTGCCGTTGAAGGTGGTTCGAACTTGATTAGGCGCTGTCGTAACTGCAGGAATTACTCTTTGGTTAAGTCACGTAGAAATCATGGAAATAAAATGAAATGGCTGACGACGTTTCGATCGCAACGCTAAGCCTCAGGTCTTCTCGGCCACGGTCGACACTCCACGGCCGAACAAAAGCTGTTTCGGCATGCGATGGCTGGGTCATGTAGACCGCATGTCCAGCCACCGCATGCCGAAACAGCTTTTGTTCGGCCGGATCGAGGGGCGCTAAACGGGCGCGGCACGGGCTAGAGAAGAGATGGAGTGATGTGGTACAGGAGGACGTGGAGCTGAGTGGACTTGCCGATGACTGGTACCAGCGGTGTCAAGATCGACCTCTGTGGAGGAGGCTCGTGAAGGATGCTACTGGGCAGTCGGAGGCAGTCGCCCTCCAACAACAACGGAGGGCGGAGGAGCGACGCTCACAACAACGAGCGGAGCGCCGGGTGGCTAAAGCACAGCAGGTTGGCACAGTAGGGGGCACAGGTGGTGCATCAGCCAGTCATCTCAGTCAGTCGACCCGTGGCACCTGGGTCTGCCCCGTGACCTCCTGCCAGCGGGCGTTCGACACTCCACGTGGCCTCAGGGTGCACATAGCCTGGCACAAGCGTCGTGGTGACGTCACCGCCACTTAGTGGCGAATGGCGGTTGTTGTTGTTGTTGTGTGTGTACCTGTGTGTGTGTGTGTACCTGTGTGTGTGTGTACCTGTGTGTGTACCTGTGTGTGTGTCACTGTGTGTGTGTATGTACCTGTGTGTACCTGTGTGTGTGTATGTGTGTACCTGTGTGTACCTGTGTGTGTACCTGTGTGTATACCTGTGTGTGTGTGTGTACCTGTGTGTGTGTGTACCTGTGTGTGTGTATGTGTGTACCTGTGTGTACCTGTGTGTGTACCTGTGTGTGTACCTGTGTGTGTGTGTACCTGTGTGTGTACCTGTGTACCTGTGTGTGTACCTGTGTGTGTGTGTGTACCTGTGTACCTGTGTGTGTGTACCTGTGTACCTGTGTACCTGTGTTTGTGTGTACCTATGTGTGTACCTGTGTGTACCTGTGTGTGTACCTGTGTGTGTGTCACTGTGTGTGCCTGTGTGTACCTGTATGTGTGTGTACCTGTGTGTACCTGTGTGTGTGTACCTGTGTGTGTGTGTACCTGTGTGTGTACCTGTGTGTACCTGTGTGTGTACCTGTGTGTACCTGTGTGTGTACCTGTGTGTACCTGTGTGTGTGTACCTGTGTGTACCTGTGTGTGTACCTGTGTACCTGTGTGTGTACCTGTGTACCTGTGTGTGTACCTGTGTGTGTGTGAACCTGTGTGTGTGCCTGTGTGTACCTGTGTGTATCTGTGTGTGTCACTGTGTGTGTGTGTACCTGTGTGTGTGTGTGTCACTGTGTGTGTGTGTCACTGTGTGTGTGTGTACCTGTGTGTGTGTGTGTCACTGTGTGTGTACCTGTGTGTACCTGTGTGTGTACCTGTGTGTACCTGTGTGTGTGTACCTGTGTGTACCTGTGTGTGTACCTGTGTACCTGTGTGTGTACCTGTGTACCTGTGTGTGTACCTGTGTGTGTGTGAACCTGTGTGTGTGCCTGTGTGTACCTGTGTGTATCTGTGTGTGTCACTGTGTGTGTGTGTACCTGTGTGTGTGTGTGTCACTGTGTGTGTGTGTCACTGTGTGTGTGTGTACCTGTGTGTGTGTGTGTCACTGTGTGTGTACCTGTGTGTACCTGTGTGTGTCACTGTGTGTGTGTGTACCTGTGTGTGTGTGTGTCACTGTGTGTGTGTGTCACTGTGTGTGTGTGTACCTGTGTGTGTGTGTGTCACTGTGTGTGTGTGTCACTGTGTGTGTGTGTACCTGTGTGTGTGTACCTGTGTGTACCTGTGTGTACCTGTGTGTGTACCTGTGTGTGTACCTGTGTGTACCTGTGTGTACCTGTGTGTGTACCTGTGTGTACCACTCACCGAAGACTGTGCGTGCTGGCACGCTCTCCTTGTTGAGCCAGAAGGAGACCTGTGAGAGCATCACAGTCATGATGCAGGGGATGTAAGTCTGGATCATGAAGTAGCCCATCTTGCGGCGCAGGAGGAAGTTCACCGTCATCACCACGTACTCACCTGGTGGGACAGGGACTCGGGGGGGGGGGGAGGGGGGGGGAGGGGGGGGAGAGAGGGAGAGGGGGGGGAGGGAGAGTGGGGGAGAGGGGGGGGGGAGGGGGGAGAGAGGGGGGGGAGAGTGGGGGAGGGAGAGGGGCGGGGAGGGGGGAGAGAGGGGGGGGAGGGAGAGGGGGGGAGGGAGAGGGGGGGAGGGAGAGGGGGGGGCAGGGGGGAGAGAGGGGGGGGAGAGTGGGGGGAGAGTGGGGGGAAGGATGGAGGGGAGGGAGTGGGGGGAGGGAGAGGGGGGGGGAGAGTGGGGGAGGGAGTGGGGGGGAGAGGGGGGGAGGGAGAGGGGGGAGGGAGAGGGGGGGAGGGAGAGAGGGGGAGGGGGAAGGGGGAGAGGGGGGGATGTGATAGTGGGGGGGGAGAGTGGGGGGAGGGATGGAGGGGAGGGAGTGGGGGGAGGGAGGGGGAAGGGGGGGTGAGAGGAAGGGGGAGAGAGGGAGGGGTGATAGTGGGGGGGGGGGAGAGTGGGGGGAGGGACGCAGGGGAGGGGGGAGGGGGGAGGGGGATGACGTCACAGGAGGTATTTGCGAGGCTTTGGGGCTCGCTGACAGCACTTGCCCCAGCAGTCTGTGACAGGCTACACGGGGAATCTTTGTCTGTGTTAGTAGTAGTGGTAGTAGTAGGAGTGGTGTAGTAGTAGTAGTGTAGTAGTAGTGGTAGTACTAGGAGTAGTGTGTGTACTAGTGGTACTAGTAGTGGTGTGTGTGTGGTAGTAGTGTAGTAGTAGTGTGTGTAGTAGTAGTGTAGTAGTAGTGTAGTAGTGGTGGTAGTAGTAGTGTAGTAGTAGTATAGTAGTAGTAGTGTAGTAGTATAGTAGTAGTAGTGTAGTAGTAGTGTAGTAGTAGTGTAGTAGCAGTGTAGTAGTAGTAGTGTAGTAGTAGTATAGTAGTAGTAGTGTAGTAGTAGTGTAATAGTAGTGTGTGTACTAGTGGTACTAGTAGTGTGTGTACTAGTGGTACTAGTAGTGTGTGTACTAGAGGTACTAGAGGTACTCACCCCTACTAGACAGGATGGTCTCACTAGACACGCTGTGAGTCACCAAGTCGTACTGGAGGAGGCTGTAGTAGTAGTGTAGTAGTAGTGTGTGTAGTAGTAGTGTGTGTACTAGTGGTACTAGTAGTGTGTGTACTAGAGGTACTAGAGGTACTAGTACTCACCCCTACTAGACAGGATGGTCTCACTAGACACCGTGTGAGTCACCAAGTCGTACTGGAGGAGGCTGTAGTAGTAGTGTAGTAGTAGTGTAGTAGTAGTGTGTGTACTACAGGTACTAGTAGTGTGTGTACTAGAGGTACTAGTAGTGTGTGTACTAGTGGTACTAGTAGTGTGTGTACTAGAGGTACTAGTAGTGTGTGTACTAGAGGTACTAGTAGTGTGTGTACTAGTGGTACTAGTAGTGTGTGTACTAGAGGTACTAGTAGTGTGTGTACTTGTGGTACTAGTAGTGTGTGTACTAGTGGTACTAGTAGTATGTGTATTAGAGGTACTAGTAGTGTGTGTACTAGAGGTACTAGTAGTGTGTGTACTAGTGGTAATAGTAGTGTGTGTACTAGAGGTACTAGTAGTGTGTGTACTAGAGGTACTAGTAGTGTGTGTACTAGTGGTACTAGTAGTGTGTGTACTAGAGGTACTAGTAGTGTGTGTACTAGAGGTACTAGAGGTACTAGTAGTGTGTGTACTAGAGGTACTAGTAGTGTGTGTACTAGAGGTACTAGTAGTGTGTGTACTAGTGGTACTAGTAGTGTGTGTACTAGAGGTACTAGAGGTACTAGAGGTACTCACCCCTACTAGACAGGATGGTCTCACTAGACACGGTGTGAGTCACCAAGTCGTACTGGAGGAGGCTGTACTAGTAGTGTGTGTACTAGTAGAGGTACTAGTAGTGTGTGTACTAGAGGTACTAGTAGTGTGTGTACTAGACGTACTAGTAGTGTGTGTACTAGTAGAGGTACTAGTAGTGTGTGTACTAGAGGTACTAGTAGTGTGTGTACTAGAGGTACTAGTAGTGTGTGTACTAGAGGTACTAGTAGTGTGTGTACTAGTGGTACTAGTAGTGTGTGTACTAGAGGTACTACTAGAGGTACTAGTGGTACTAGAGGTACTCACCCCTACTAGACAGGATGGTCTCACTAGACACCGTGTGAGTCACCAAGTCGTACTGGAGCAGGCTGTAGTAGTAGTGTAGTAGTAGTGTGTGTACTAGAGGTACTAGTAGTGTGTGTACTAGTAGTGTGTGTACTAGAGGTACTAGAGGTACTCACCTCTACTAGACAGGATGGTCTCACTAGACACGGTGTGAGTCACCAAGTCGTACTGGAGCAGGCTGTAGTAGTAGTGTAGTAGTAGTGTGTGTACTAGAGGTACTAGAGGTACTAGAGGTACTAGTAGTGTGTGTACTAGTGGTACTAGTAGTGTGTGTACTAGAGGTACTAGTAGTGTGTGTACTAGAGGTACTAGTAGTGTGTGTACTAGAGGTACTAGTAGTGTGTGTACTAGTGGTACTAGTAGTGTGTGTACTAGAGGTACTAGTAGTGTGTGTACTAGAGGTACTAGTAGTGTGTGTACTAGAGGTACTAGTAGAGGTACTAGAGGTACTAGAGGTACTCATCCCTACTAGACAGGATGGTCTCACTAGACACGGTGTGAGTCACCAAGTCGTACTTGAGGAAGCTGTACTAGTAGTGTGTGTACTAGAGGTACTAGTAGTGTGTGTACTAGAGGTACTAGTAGAGGTACTAGTGGTACTAGTAGTGTGTGTACTAGAGGTACTAGTAGTGTGTGTACTAGAGGTACTAGTAGTGTGTGTACTAGAGGTACTAGTAGAGGTACTAGTGGTACTAGTAGTGTGTGTACTAGAGGTACTCACCCCTACTAGACAGGATGGTCTCACTAGACACCGTGTGAGTCACCAAGTCGGAGGAGGCTGTAGTAGTAGTGTAGTAGTAGTGTAGTAGTAGTGTAGTAGTAGTAGTAGTGTAATAGTAGTGTAGTAGTAGTAGTGTAGTAGTAGTGTAGTAGTAGTAGTGTAGTAGTAGTGTAGAAGTAGTAGTGTAGTAGTAGTGTAGTAGTAGTGTAGTAGTAGTGTAGTAGTAGTAGTGTAGTAGTAGTGTAGAAGTAGTAGTAGTAGTAGTGTAGTAGTAGTGTAGTAGTAGTAGTGTAGTAGTAGTGTAGTAGTAGTGTAGAAGTAGTAGTGTAGTAGTAGTGTAGTAGTAATAGTGTAGTAGTAGTGTAGTAGTAGTGTAGTAGTAGTGTGTGTAATAGTAGTGTGTGGTAGTAGTAGTGTAGTAGTGTAGTAGTAGTGTAGTAGGAGTGGTGTAGTAGTAGTGTAGCAGTAGTGGTAGTACTAGTAGTAGTGGTGTGTGTGTAGTAGTAGTAGTGTAGTAGTAGTGTAGTAGTGGTGGTAGTAGTAGTGGTAGTACTAGTAGTAGTGGTGTGTGTAGTAGTAGTAGTGTAGACGTGGTAGTAGTAGTGTAGTAGTGGTGTGTGTGTGGTAGTAGCAGTGTAGATGTGGTAATAGTAGTATTGTAGTAGTGGTGTGTGTGTAGTAGTAGTGTAGTAGTAGTGTGTGTAGTAGTAGTAGTAGTGTAGTAGTAGTGTGTGTGTAGTAGTAGTGTAGTAGTAGTGTAGTAGTAGTGTGTGTAGTAGTAGTAGTGTAGTAGTGTGTGTACTAATGGTACTAGTAGTGGTACTGGTACTAGTGGTACTAGTAGTGTGTGTACTAGAGGTACTAGTAGTGTGTGTACTAGAGGTACTAGTAGTGTGTGTACTAGTGGTACTAGTACGGTGTGTACTAGTAGAGGTACTAGTAGTGTGTGTACTAGTGGTACTACTAGAGGTACTAGAGGTACTCACCCCTACTAGACAGGATGGTCTCACTAGACACGGTGTGAGTCACCAAGTCGTACTGGAGGAGGCTGTAGTAGTAGTGTGTGTACTAGTGGTACTAGTAGTGTGTGTACTAGAGGTACTAGAGGTACTAGAGGTACTCACCCCTACTAGACAGGATGGTCTCACTAGACACGGTGTGAGTCACCAAGTCATACTGGAGGAGGCTGTAGTAGTAGTGTGTGTACTAGTGGTACTAGTAGTGTGTGTACTAGAGGTACTAGTAGTGTGTGTACTAGTGGTACTAGTAGTGTGTGTACTAGAGGTACTAGAGGTACTCACCCCTACTAGACAGGATGGTCTCACTAGACACGGTGTGAGTCACCAAGTCATACTGGAGCAGGCTGTAGTAGTAGTGTGTGTACTAGTGGTACTAGTAGTGTGTGTACTAGAGGTACTAGAGGTACTCACCCCTACTAGACAGGATGGTCTCACTAGACACGGTGTGAGTCACCAAGTCATACTGGAGCAGGCTGTAGTAGTAGTGTGTGTACTAGTGGTACTAGTAGTGTGTGTACTAGTGGTACTAGTAGTGTGTGTACTAGAGGTACTGGTACTAGAGGTACTCACCCCTACTAGACAGGATGGTCTCACTAGACACCGTGTGAGTCACCAAGTCGTTCTGGAGGAGGCTGTAGTAGTAGTGTGTGTACTAGAGGTACTAGTAGTGTGTGTACTAGAGGTACTAGTAGTGTGTGTACTAGAGGTACTAGAGGTACTAGTACTCACCCCTACTAGACAGGATGGTCTCACTAGACACGGTGTGAGTCACCAAGTCGTACTGGAGGAGGCTGTAGTAGTAGAGTGTGTACTAGAGGTACTAGTAGTGTGTGTACTAGAGGTACTAGTAGAGGTACTAGAGGTACTAGAGGTACTAGTACTCACCCCTACTAGACAGGATGGTCTCACTAGACACCGTGTGAGTCACCAAGTCGCACTGGAGGAGGCTGTAGTAGTAGTGTGTGTACTAGAGGTACTAGTAGTGTGTGTACTAGAGGTACTAGTAGTGTGTGTACTAGAGGTACTAGTAATGTGTGTACTAGAGGTACTAGAGGTACTAGTAGTGTGTG